ATACCTCACCTCCTTTCCGCCTCGACCTTTTGCAGCTGGCTTACTGTGTGGTACAGTTCCTGGAGAAGGAGAGCAGTCTCACTGAGCCGGTAACTCCCCTTCCCAGCCCCACAACACCTCTTCTTGTTGGTTAGACTTGCCATTCTGCCTATTGAGAAATGCCATAAGCAGGTGCTCAGGAGGGATGTGGCCCAACGGGTGACACAGTTTCCTTTCTGAAGGAGAAGTAAAACCTATATATATACCTAGGCCACAGATCCGGGTCAGAGAAACATGAGCTGTTAGGGGAGGCCACACACACTGTGCCCACCAAGGTGGGGAGAGAGGTCAGGAAGATTTCTGGTAGAAGGCAGGTGTTTGAGTAAGCATTTTCTCCCTATGGTCTCCTCTTCTCACAGGTGATTGTAGGACTTCTGAAGTTCTGGCCCAAGACCCATAGCCCCAAGGAAGTCATGTTCCTGAATGAACTAGAGGAGATTCTGGATGTCATTGAACCCTCAGAGTTCAGCAAAGTGATGGAACCCCTCTTCCGCCAGCTTGCCAAATGTGTCTCCAGCCCCCATTTCCAGGTGAGACTCAGATCAGCACTTACCTCATCCCCTGCCTCCTAGAAACTGAGGGTTTTCGCTGAAGTAACCATATCCCTGCTGAGTCCCACCTGTCCCCACCAGGTGGCAGAGCGTGCTCTCTATTACTGGAACAATGAGTACATCATGAGCCTGATAAGTGACAATGCTGCCCGAGTCCTCCCCATCATGTTCCCTGCACTCTACAGGAACTCCAAGAGCCACTGGAACAAGTAGGGGGGCTGGGGCTGGGCCGGGCCAGGTGGTGGGGCTCTGGTTCTGGAACCTGTGAGGGCGTGAAGCACTGAAGAGCCAGTGGCCTCATCTGGTTACTGAGCAAGGGGGCTGGTGCCCAGTGCACACAGATAGGCCCTTGAGGAACTGCCCAAGGAGAAGATAGCTATGTGAGAGATGCCTGTGGTACCATACAGCAGAGCATGGCTCGTATCCTCTTCTTCTTATGGTCAGATAGTCTAGTTGATGTGATCTTTTTAGCACGTGCTGAATCTCCGCATTAGAGGCTTTCCTGCTGAAAGCCAAGGGCACTGTGGTGCAGACGCCGTCCATCACTCTGCGGGGAGGCCATCAGTGTAGGCCAGAGAGTAGTAGTGGGAAGGAGGTAGGTCTTGGAGCACAGGGGGAGGCGAAGGGTGGGCAGGCTGAGTGACGGCTGTGAGGACCCTGGAATGCTGACCTTGTCCCATGACTTGGCTAGCGAGAGAAGCTTCCACTGCAGAGCTCTGTGAACACTCTTAGCAGAGCCCCCTCTTAGGAGAGAGCAACCTGGGTCTGGGCACTGCCCTTGGAATAGGTAAGGCTCCTACACCCCTGATCCTTCTTCCCCGTGGCAGGACAATCCATGGACTGATCTACAATGCCCTGAAGCTGTTTATGGAGATGAATCAGAAGCTGTTTGATGACTGCACACAACAGTACAAGGCAGAGAAACAGAAGTGAGTGTCTCTCCACCTGGGGGCTTCCACCTTCACCCCCTGGTCCCCTTGGCTTCCCTCTCAAGCACCCCCATCTTGTCTGTGCCCCCTCAGGGGCCGGTTCCGCATGAAGGAAAGGGAAGAGATGTGGCAAAAGATTGAGGAGCTGGCCCGACTTAACCCCCAGGTGAGGACTTTCGGCCACTGCCCTGATCTGAGGGGCCTGATTTGGCAGAGAATGGGTTTGTTTGAGGAGGAACATGGAGCAAACAGGTCCCCAGACTTCTGAGTGGCTCTCATGTCTTGCCGGTGCCCCTCCTTTCCTTGCCAGTATCCCATGTTCCGAGCTCCTCCACCACTGCCTCCCGTGTACTCCATGGAGACAGAGACCCCCACAGCAGAGGACATCCAGCTTCTGAAGAGGACAGTGGAGACAGAGGCTGTGCAGGTGGGAAGGCACAGAGGGAGTGGGGAGCAGAAATAAAATCTGGAGGGAAGAGGAGACGGGAGAAGCAGAGCCAGGGAATAAGGAGAGGAAACCATAGAATTTACTGGGAGTTGGTCACCATTCCTCCCCTTTCTCCGTACCCACACACAGATGCTAAAGGACATCAAGAAGGAGAAGGTGCTGCTTCGGCGGAAGTCAGAGCTGCCCCAGGACGTGTACACCATCAAGGCACTGGAGGCACACAAGCGGGCGGAAGAATTCCTAACTGCCAGCCAGGAGGCTCTCTGACCCCCTCACTGTCCTACTGCAGGGCCACAGCCCACTCAGCCCTGGGACGCTGCCCTCGCCCTCCACCCTCTGCTCCCCACTGGCTGACTTGGGGCAAGGCAGTGCCTCTCTAGCTACTCTAGGGAGCGATGCGGCACTTGAAGCAGGGACCCTCACAGAGTGGTCCCTCTTCTCCCCAAAATGTGTTCATGCCTCCCTGTGGCTCGTACAGACATGCTGAGCACTGAGGTCCTCAGTGCTCAGACAACTTGGGGATGCCTGTCCCCCTCCTGCTCCTAACCCCAAAGCTACCTGAGGCTGCTCTGAGAAATACACACAGGAATACACATGCTCCTCTTCCCCCTCCCTTCATCCTCTTTGAACTCCAGGTGTCTTTCCTTCTCTCCCTCCCCTCCAGAAGCATATAGGGAGCAGCAGGAGATTACTCTCACCAAAGTTATGTCAAGCCCCACTGGCCCCTGGAGTGAGTAGCTGGAGGGGAGCCAATCCCCAACAGGCACAAATAGGCCCCCAGCCCCAGCAGTGTGCAGGCTGATGGGGTTGAATTATTTTCTTTTATCCCCTGCCTGACCAAGACAACATGAGGTCAAAGGAGAAAAGCATAGGCTATGGACACTAGGTGATGAATATAGGGCCCAGATGGACCAAGAGAAGGGGGTGAACAAACACCCTACCTTGTGCCCTCCCTTTGGTGAGCAGCAGCCCTGGGATCACAGACATGGAAGGGACCACCCTGGGGCTGACTGCTTTCCTGTGCTGTTGGCTCCCAAAGCTAGGAGGAAACCGGGAGCAGTGCCCCAAGCATGGCTCCCCAAATACCTATTTATTTCATTGTGCTGACGATGGGCAGGCCCCCACTTGTCCCTTTTGGACACCTTGGAGAGGCAAGGGGCTGAGGAGGGCTAGACCCAGGTTCCAGGGGCACAGGCAGTACAGCTTTTGGCTGTGTACATAGGGTGCTTTATTCTCCACAGAGTGATACATGCTAAGATGGGTTGGGCTTGGGCCGATGTCCCCATATGTACAGAACTGAATAAAGTGGGTCTCTGAGAAGAAGTCTGATTTGCCTTGATGTGGAAATGGAGAGGAGGAAGATGGAGATGGACATTACAACCGGGGATGTGTTCAGTCCTGTGCTGGTTCTGGCCTGGAATGCAGGGAGATAAGGCAGCTCTTAGGGTAGTCACTTCCAGGCTGGGGCTCCCTGCCGAGCTTGGAGGGCCTTCTGTACCACATCTTCCCACTGGGCATCTGAGATCTCCCGAGCCCAGGCAGGAACCCCTGGTGCAGGCAGGCTTACTCCAGCCATCGTCCTTTTCACCAGCTCCACATGTTCTGAAAGCACAGAGAACAGTTAGGGGATAGCAGCTAGGGGAACAGCTCCACTCCCCATTCCTTGAATTAACCCACAACCTTGGGCCAGAAGGGTGGCCAAATCCGTTTTGTTATTTCCAGGCAAGCCTGCCTATCACCCACGTCTAGCACACTAGCTAGCATTCCACCTGGATTCTGAAGTCTGTAAAATCTTAGATTACAAAGTATTGTTTTAGGAACAGGGTATTCCTCAGTGACTTCCCTTTACTGGCTCTGACCCATCCCCTTTCCTCCATGGTTATTCCAGAATGAGAGAATGCTCTCTTTACCCGGGTCCATGGGAATAGAGCTGTGGTTGCTCAGTCCGGTAGCTCCCTCCTCCTCTTCATCCTCGCTCTCTACTGGTGGGTCTGGCAAATGAAGCCCCAGGGCCTGCAGAGCCAGAGAGGACAGTTCAGGGCCAGCCTTTCCGAGATCCCAGCTTCACCTGGCCAGAAGAGCGCCTGCACCATACCTGGATCCGATCCTGAATATCAGCAACTACATCTTCACCATCCCCCACCGCTGCCAGCTCCACCTCCTCTTGCTCAGGATCCTGGTTCAGGGGCTGATAGGAGTAGCCAGCTGGGCCTGCCCCTGTGTCCTCCTGCTCTTCCTCAGGCTCCTCGCTGCTCCAATCCCCAGTGCCTTCTGTAGGGCCCTGGTGCGGCCCCAGTTCTTCAGTCTGATTGGGGAAGATACGCTCGGGGCCCATGGTGTCTCCCCCTAGAACTACTGCTGCCATCCGGGCAGGGGCTGCAAGAACAGGGATCGGATGAAATTAGGTCCCCCTTCAGCCTCTCGTCCAGTTCCTTGTGGCCTCCTGCGTCCGCAAAACATTCAAACGCTCCCAAGCTTCCTGCGCCCCACCCTCTCCTGGGCCCTGCACCTTTCAAATCGACTGTATCTTGAACCGAGACCCACCCGACTTGCTCCGCCAATTCTTAAATGACAGCTTGAACAGAGTCCACGCCACCTCCCGAAAGACGCTCGGCCCAGGACCCCGCCCTCCCCAACCCCCCGACTTGGGAACTCCGGGTCGCCGAACAAGCTCCCCTAGGCAGGGCGTACCCGCCCCCTTCTCCCCTCTCCAAGGGGTTCCCTTCTGTACCGCCTGACAAACGCCCTTCAGGCCTCAGGGGCTCCCCTCCAATGGCCCCGGCTGCGGCGTCCGCCACCCGCCCCCACCGACTGTCGGCGCCGGTCTTCCCGCGCGCCTCACCCGCTCCGAGCCCGCGGCCAGACCCGCACCTTCACTTCCGGCGGGGCAGGACGTACGGGGGCGCCGGGTCCTCCCGCCCCGCCCCGTGCTCCTGATTGACGCGAACGCGGACGCGGAGTACGCCCCTTGCCCCGCCTCCGCCGTCCCGGGCCCGGACGACAAAGAACTACATTAACCAGTGACCCCCACGGGTTCTGACAGTAGTAGGTACATGCGCACAATCTCCTTCGGCGCCCGCCGGTTCTTCAGCCCCTCGCGACCCTCGGTAAACCCGTGGACTACAAGTCCCGGTAGGCTTCGGGTACTTAGTTCTGACTGCACGTGCGCACACCCCTGCCCGCCGGAAGGACCGAGGTTGGCTGTGTTTATCTCGTTGGGGACCGAGGTGTCGGTTGGCGCGCAACGGGTTCTAGACTGCAAGCAGCGCGAGGACCCACGGCCCCGCCCCGGCCCGGCCTGGCAGGTAACCCGCGATGTGTTGAGGGACAAGGAAAATTGGAGGGGCTGGGGTCGCCCATACCTGGAGCTGGAGTCGTGGGGGAGGGGCCTGAGAGTGATGCGGTGGGGGTGGGGAGGGAACTAGGGGGATGATGGGAAAGGAGAGTGTTAATGGGGAAAGAAGGGCTGGGGGAGGATGGTGAGGAAACGGGTGGAGGAGACCTGGTGGCTGGCGGAGGCACCGAAGGGAATTGGAAGGAAGATGGCTATGAAGAGAAAGGGAAGCTGAGGATAATGGAAGAAAAGGAGGGGGAGGGTCTAGTATTGTTGGGGAGGGGAGACTGGGATGACTGGAAGAAGACAGGCATAGCGTCATGTAGAGTGAGGAAGGTCCCTGCCCGAAGGGGGTCGGTGAATATTAGCTTTTTTTTTTTTTTTTTTCCCTTAGTGGAAGAGGGAAAATGGAGGGCTGTCGGGTGGAGCTTGGTGCCGTGGGAGAAGGGAAAAAAGAGAAAGCTGCAAAGCAATCAGGAGATCAAGAAGGGCCAGAAATGGGGAGTGAGCAAGAGACCCCGCGGGCGGGGAGAGGGGGTATGTACTTTAAGGGAATGGAAGAAGCTAGAGACTGCAGACCCTGAGACAGCGGGGGCTTTTCTCCATGAGTTTGAGATGTCCTTGTGAAGAAGCTAAGGTTCTGTCAATCTTTGGATGGGATTGCTTCTCCTTTCCCCTGTGAATTCTTTACCTTGACATAGCAGAAGGAGGGAGTAGAAACTATGAGGGGAAATGAAAGACTCGCATTCCTAAACCCCTCAACCTCCTATCTCCCCACAAGCCCAGATCCAAGATCTTTTGGATGGAGGACAGGAATAATGAAGTGAGAGTGGTTTCCTGGTGGGGCTATTTCAGATTTGGCAGGCTGGCTATTTAAAGCATGGGGTGGGGGTGGAGGGTTGAGGGAGGTTGAAGGGGGAGGGCGGCTGGCAAGCCAGCTGGAAGCCATGTCTGTTTCTTTTCAGGGGCCTCCCGTGCATTCTCTGTACCTGAGTTTCCGTCAGGCCCTTCCTTCTGCCAGGGCTCCTTGAACAGGGAGCAGATATCCACTCAAACCCAGCAGGTGCCTGCCAGCGAAGGCAATACCAGTTGTAGGAGCATTTGTCTGACAAGGCCTTCAAATGTACCCATTATCACTAGCTTGGCAGGTCATGCCTGGGTCTATTTCTTGTCCTGCCCAAGGGCACTTTTTTTATTTGTTTGCTTTCTCTCTCTCTCTCTCTCTCTCCTTTTTTCTTTTTCTTTTTTTTTAAGATTTTATTTATTCATGAGAGACACACAGAGAGACAGGCAGAGACACAGAGGGAGAAGCAGGCTCCCCCAGGAGGAGCCCGATGCAGGACCTGATCCTGGGACTCCAGGATCATGCCCTGGGCGGAAGGCAGTTGCTCAACCACTGAGCCACCACCCAGGCATCCCATTTCTTTCTCTTTTCTAATGTACCCCTACCCCATCCCCCTTTCAGGAATCCAAGTGGGAGAACTGCTAAAATAGCTTTTTTTTTTTTTTTTTTTTTTTTTTTTACAATAGCAGGGTTGGAGAAGTAGCAAGAGAGGAAAACCCCTCCTTTCCACCCCTACTGTTCCCAGCAGACACATACCTTTCTGGCTTAAGTTCCTGGTCTTGGCAGTATACCAGGCACAGCTGTCAAAGGAACTCCGAGTGCCTCTGAGGGGCCCTGGATGACCCTGATGACAACAGCTCAACTTGGCAAGAGCTCCCTATAAGGGGCTAACCATCTATAGAGGTCCCTGCCCTGGATCAATCCCACCCTGCCCTGGATCAGGGGACTGTTTCCCTTTAAAGGCCTAAAAGCTTTTTTACCTTGAAGCACCAATGCCAGCTTTCAATGGACTGATTGGAGTTGGCTGGGCTATTAATAGCCCTGAGTATTTTGAGATCCCTTTCCCCACCTTAAAGAGCAGAGATTCTTAGAGAGGTGGCAGTAAGCAGAGCAGAGCCAGAGAGACAAGAGAATGCACTGCCTTGGGAAGGAGGGCAGAGGGGGTGGGGGTGGGGTGGTGCTTGGAGCTTATGCCAGGCCAGGGACACCGTGGCTGTGGAGCCTCTATGAGTAAAGGATGACCACGCTGAGCCCTTGATCAGCAAATTCTGAGCTGTCAATCAGGTCGGTGTGGTGCCACCCTTTGCTGTTGGGAAAACACAGGGCCAGGGCAAGTTCCCTGACCTCTGCATCTCCCCTGGGGCCAGGCCAGCCACCTGAGCTTTGGAAGGATGGTGTGGGAGGGCCACCAGGGTGACACTTTGAGGCAAGGGCTGGTTCTGAGCAGACTCACGGCGAGCCAGACAAAGGCCTTGCCTGAGGAGCCCGTGGCCCTAACTTGTTTGCAGGTAGCAGAGGCAGCAGGCCGTGCCGGGGGGGCATGTTGCTGTAACCAGTGACCCAGGGGATGTTACGGTGGACAGTGCACCTGGAGGGCGGGCCCCGCAGGGTGAACCATGCTGCAGTGGCTGTTGGGCACCGGGTATACTCCTTCGGGGGTTACTGCTCTGGTGAAGACTATGAAACACTGCGTCAGATTGATGTGCACATTTTCAATGCAGGTAAGCTAATGCTGGGACGATCCCTGGATACCCACATCAGGGAGGGGGATGGGTAGCTGAATGAGGTTTGGTGGTGGTCCCCATGGCCAGAGGGGATGGGGGAATGAATATCTGGTTTGGGAAAAGGTGAAGAGCCTGGAGGAGCTTTCCAGGGCTGAGCAGAACTATGCCCACAGTGTCCTTGCGTTGGACAAAGCTGCCCCCAGTGAGGCCTGCCATCCGTGGGCAGGCTCCTGTGGTACCCTACATGCGGTATGGACACTCAACTGTCCTCATCGACGACACGGTCTTCCTTTGGGGCGGGCGGAACGACACCGAAGGAGCCTGCAATGTGCTATATGCCTTTGATGTCAGTGAGTATGGATCTCAGAGAAGCTGTGTTCTGCCAAATGATGCCTCAGGGAAATGGGCTGGGAAAGGTGTGGGCTGAGGTGGCCGGGCACCCCACAGTTTAGGAGGGAGTGTCAGGTTGCTTACCTGGCCCATCCTCTCCTCTCTTTCAGATACTCACAAATGGTCCACACCCCGAGTGTCAGGAACAGTTCCTGGAGCCCGGGACGGACATTCAGCTTGTGTCCTGGGCAAGACCATGTACATTTTCGGGGGCTACGAGCAGCTGGTAGGAACCCAGAGGTTTAGGGTGGGAATGAGAAAGAGGAAGGGAAAATAGAGGGTGATGGAATAGGAGGCTTTGACTTGTTTGAAGGTTTTAAGGGGAGAGGTTGGAGGGTCAGAGAGTGACCACTGATCCCATCTTTTATTGCTTTCTTCACTTCCTTTCTCTTCCCACTCAGGCGGATTGCTTTTCCAATGACATTCACAAGCTGGATACCAGCACCATGACATGGACCCTTATCTGTACAAAGGTGTGCGCTTTCTTCTTTCTTCCAGATCCTTACCCTCGATTCAAGACATCCTAGGAAGCTCAGTGAGAGCAGATCCCTTCTAGCCTTCATGTTGACCCCCTCCTTCTCATCTCTCTGCTCCTGCCCAGGGCAGCCCTGCGCGCTGGAGGGACTTCCACTCAGCCACAATGCTGGGCAGTCACATGTATGTCTTTGGGGGCCGTGCTGACCGCTTTGGGCCATTCCATTCCAACAACGAGATTTACTGCAACCGCATCCGTGTCTTTGACACCAGGACTGAGGCCTGGCTGGACTGTCCCCCCACTCCGGTGTTGCCTGAGGGCCGCCGGAGCCACTCAGCCTGTGAGTGTCTGTCTGTCCCTGTGGGAGTTCCCCCTTGCCACCCATTGTCATCATACTCCACTTTGCTCTCTCCTTCCAGTTGGCTACAATGGGGAGCTGTACATCTTTGGTGGCTATAATGCAAGGCTGAACCGGCACTTCCATGACCTCTGGAAGTTTAACCCTGGTACAGAAGCACTGCCTTTAAGGGGAAAACAAGTAGCAGCTGACAGTGGAGTGGGGGGAGGGGCGGGGAATCCTGTGAGGGTGGGGGTGGAGAGGCTATCTGGACTGGGCAGGTATTAAAGCTCCACATAAACTGCTTTTCAGTGTCCTTCACATGGAAGAAGATTGAACCGAAGGGGAAGGGGCCATGTCCCCGCCGGCGCCAGTGCTGCTGTATTGTCGGTGACAAGATTGTTCTGTTTGGGGGTACCAGGTTAGGAGGAAAGTGGGGAGGCCTTGGGGAAGGGCCCAGGTCTGTGACTGCACGGGAGGCACTTGAGCAAGAGGGTCCTAGGGCTAGTCTTTCCTCCTTCCTTCATCTCTTTTTTGATCTCTACAGTCCATCTCCTGAGGAAGGTCTGGGAGATGAATTTGACCTCATAGATCATTCTGACTTACACATTTTGGACTTTAGTAAGTACACATATTCCTACAGTGCCGTTACCACAGGGTCCCTGACTTTGGATGGTGACACTGAGGACTGGACCCTTCCCTTGGCTCTGATCTTTCCCCTCTCCCTAACTTCTCCTTTAAAGGCCCTAGTCTGAAGACTCTGTGTAAACTGGCCGTGATTCAGTATAACCTGGACCAGTCCTGTTTGCCCCATGACATCAGGTACAGTGAGTGGTTGGAGAGGAGGGATTGTTTGAGGGTGAATGGGCAGTAAAAGCAGGATCTGATGAGCTTGGTCTCAGTATAGAGGGGACAGAGGTTTTTGTTTTGCTGGAGATATGATGTACTTGTGGAGAATGAGAGGGATTGAGATTCAGAAGTACCGGTGAGTAAATCATATGGGGGAAAAAAAATCTGGTGTTTTAAACCAAGCTCAGAAGCATCACTTCTTGAGACCTGAGCCTATAATGGTTGTTTTTAATATGCTGAGAAAATTTGATTAAATCTTTGAAGTTAGGTGCAAAGTACAATTTCAAGAATCTTTGGAACACATTAGTTCCAGAATTAAGGGAGCTCCTTCCAGCTACTTCCTTTTGAATTCCATTCTTCAGTCCAAATCAAGCTCCAGAAGTTATTTGGTGTATAATTGTGTTCTTCTGGGTCATTCTGGACACTTCCCTCTCCTTGTATCAGTTTTGTTTAACTTACTTGCTGAGGGAGTGTGTGTTCAGTATTTGGTGACGCAGAGTGTAAAAGGCTGAACTGATGGATCCTAGGCTACCTCAGGATTGACACATGTGTAGGTATTTCCTACCAAGTAGACTGTAGTGAGCGTCTTGAGGTAAGGAGGAACTTGGTAAATCCTTGTAAAAGAATAGAATTGTCAAAAAGAGAGAGGAAACAAGGGATTAATTTTAATGTGTGAGGGGTGGGGAAGGCTTCTGAAAGCTTAGGAGAAGAGCTGAGTTAGGCTCTTTAAAGGGATAAGAGTGGAGAGCAAAAACACATTCCTGGTTGAGCAGAGGATGAAAGGTAGGTTGGGAAGTTTACTGAGCTGTGTATACAGATGATTTTTTCCCAGGTGTTGGGCACAAGGACACATATATAAACAGGAAGTCTACATAATCTTGCAGGTGAAGGAGTGGGTGATACTGGATTTGGTGGTGGGTGGGGCCTGATAAACTTAGTAAGGCTGTAAGGAAGGAGGTGGCTGTGGGTGGTTGTGCTCTAAGATGTTGAAGGGACTGGTGTGTTCATAGCCTTGTTTGAGCAATTCTGGCCTTGGGGGTGGAGGCTCCCCTATCTGTCCTTTTTGCCTTTCATTTGTTGGCCTTCCAGGTGGGAGCTGAATGCCATGACCACCAACAGCAATATCAGTCGCCCCATCGTCTCCTCCCATGGGTAGGAGAAAGTTGCTGCCGCCTCCCTTCCTGAACCTGCTATTGTGTTCACTGCCCCTTCCCATCCCTCACCTGCCTGCCCCTTTGGACCTGGACTCGGTATACCTCTGCGTGGAGTTGTTGGACTAGAGGTGTTTCCTGTGCTGTGAACTCAGTGGGGAGCTGTAGGGGGGAGGGCGAGTTCCCTACCCCCTTGGGCCGAGGGCCCCTTCCCTTGGTGCTCTGTCCCGTACACCTCCTTCCAACTGCTCCTGGGTCTCTGCTCTGCCCCAGGCCAGCCAGGCTCTACTGGGAAGCTAAGGAACTGGGGATAAGGGAGAAGCAAGCAGTGTCTGAGCCTCAGGAGCTTCCCCCCACCCTTGTTTCCGCCCCCTCCCCCGCTTGAGCCATGAGCATCCATTGGGAGCTGAGAGGAGTTGCAACTGTTGCCATGAAACCTCCTTCTCCCTGATCTGGGGAGGCGAGGACCAGCAGATAATCCCACCCTTCCCTGAGCTGTTGCTGTTCCCTGACGCTCCCAGCCAGCTCAGATTTTATAAAAATGAATTGAAAATCTCCAAACGTGTGATCTGTTTTTGTGGAAAACGATGGGAGGGTGTGTGCCCGAAGCTTGCAAAGGGGCAGGGTGCTGAGGTTCTGGCTTCGCCGAGAACAAAAGGAAACCAAATATCACCAAGGCCTGGCCCTCATTTCTCTTGAGCGCGGAGTCCAGCGCCATGGACAAAAAGGTGGCGACAGTCCCTCGAGCGGGCTCCCCCCTCCCCCCCGCCCCCGCGGGTCCCACCAGTTCACCACGAGTTGCGCAGACGCGGCCTCCTGGGGAGGCCGGAAGAGGCGGGCCGGGAACCACGAGAGCGGAAGTAGCGCCATCGCTGCCGCCGCGGCCGACGAGCCAATGCCTAGAGCGAGTTCCCGCGCCCCGGCGGCTGCCGGCTCTCCCCGCGGGGCCCGGGTCTGCGGGGAGGACTCTGGGGGCCTGCGGAAGGGTGAGACCCCGGTGCCGGGGAGAAGGGCAGGTGGCGGCGCCGTCCCCGTGGGACCGCCCAGTTCTCTAAAGCGGCGGCCGACGCGTTGGGCCGTGAGGGGGAGCTTCCCGGGTTAGGAGATCCTGGGCAGTTGCTGAAAGGAGGATGGGGTGGTTTTCCGCCGGGAGAAACCGCTTGGGCGAAAGCACAATCAGGAGAGGCATGGGTTGCTGGGGCAGCCTTAGCAGATGAGGATTCACACATTTCGCAGACATTCTTTGAGCTTCTACCGTGTACAGGCTGTTCTGGATGTGGTTCTAGCTGTAGATGTAGCGGTGAGTAAACCACTCAACTCCCCCGGGCGCCTGGCTGGCTCAGTGGGAGAAGCGTGCACCTCTTGATCTCAGAGTTGTCGGTTCAAGCCCCACATTGGGTGTAGAGATTACTTAAAAGCCTTTTTTTTAAAAAAAGATTTCATTTATTTATTCATGAGAGACACAGGCAGAGGGAGAAGCAGGCTCCTCGCAGGGAGCCCGATGTGGGACTCCATCCTGGGACCGGGATCACGCCCTGAGCTACCCAGGCGTCCCTAGGATTAAAATCTTAAAAAAAAAAAAATCTCATGAAACTTACTTTTCAAAAAGGGTGACCAAAAAAAAAGGTAAATTCATACATTAAAAGGCAACAGAACATGGGATTATATATTTTTAAGGATAAGTTTTATGATATGTGAATTATATCTCAGTTTTTTTTTTATATCTGTTTTTTAAGAAGACTATAAGGGCTATAGAGTGAAAGCAATTTTAAATAGAGAAGGCCTCACTGAGTGGATGACATTTGAGCAACAGCTTGAAGGACATGAAGAAGCAAGCAATAAATGGATCTGGAGAAAACTTCCAAGCAGAGGCAACATCAAATACAAAGGAACTGCTCCGGGAACACTGACCTTTTTTTTTTTTTTTTTTTTTTTTTAAGATTTTATTTATTTGGGATCCCTGGGTGGCGCAGCGGTTTGGCGCCTGCCTTTGGCCCAGGGCGCGATCCTGGAGACCCGGGATCGAATCCCACGTCGGGCTCCCGGTGCATGGAGCCTGCTTCTCCCTCTGCCTATGTCTCTGCCTCTCTCTCTCTCATTCTATGTGACTATCATAAATAAATAAAAATTAAAAAAAAATATTTTATTTATTTATTCATGAGAGACACAGAAAGAGAGAGAGAGAGAGAGGCAGAGGGAGAAGCAGGCCCGAGTCCCACACGACTCATTCCAGGTTTCCAGGACTACACCCTGGGCTGAAGGTGGCGCTAAACCGCTGAGCTACCCAGGCTGCCCAACACTGACCTTTTTGCTCATGAACTGCTAGGAGACCAGTTGAGAGGAGTGGGAAAGAGATTAGTAGGACGTGAGCTAGAGATCACCTGGGGGCTTTCAAACCATTATAAAGCCCTGTCGCTTTTACTCCGATCATGAGGAGGCCCTTGAGGAGTTTTGAGTTCTGAAGTGATGTGATCTGAAGCATATATGTATGGAAAAGAGGTGGGAGTGATGAGATCAGCTTTGCATTTTACAGGCCTCTGTCAAGCCTGGAGTGGGAAGCCTCGCTTTGGGAGGAGTCAGAGGTTGGGAGACCAGTTAGGAGGCTAGAGCACTGGCTCAGGTGAGGTGCTGAGAGTATGAAGCAGAGCATGGGCAGTGGTGACCGAGCAAGGGAAACAAGCCCTGTGGAGAAGCCTGTAGAGGCATGATTAAAAGAGAGGATGAAAAAGAAGGGACTGTGGCTTGGCCCACCGCCAGTTTTAAAGCCCTTAGCCAGGTGAGGCCCCAGGTGGCTGGAATGGTTGGGAAGGTAGATGTCAGCATAGAATTATTATGACCTGTGCTGCTTGGGGACTATAGTGATTGGTCTGGTGGGGACACTGGAAAGGAGGGTGGGATGAGGTCTCTGCAGCACTAGGAGATTTTGTGCTGACTTGTGTCCCCACCCCTCTGCAGATACATCTGACATGTCCTTTGAAGAGCTGTTGGAATTGCAGAGCCAAGTGGGGACTAAGACATACAAACGGTTGGTAGCTGGAAACAGTTCTAAGAAGGAAGGCTCTAGACCACGTGTCCAAAATGCCTGTGTTGCAGATAAGCACAGGTGAGGAACTGAGGAATACTTGGGACCTTCAGTAGGTGTCTGAATTCTTAGGTGGGAGGCCTTTGATCGTGACTGGAGACCCTGGGGTGCCTGGCTGGCTTGGCATGTGCCAAAAATGGCACCTGGATGACTCAGTTGGTTAAGCATCTGCCTTCTGCTCAGGTCATGATCCCAGGGTCCTGGGATCGAGCCCTGTGTCAGGCTCTCAGCTCGGTGAGGAGCCTGCTTCTCCCTCTCCCCTGCTTGTGCTCTCTCTCTTACATTCTCTCTCAAATAAACAAGATCTTAACAAAAAAAAAAAAAAAAACTAAAAATTAAGGGCACCTGGGTGGTTCAGTCAAAGTGTCCGACTCTTGATTTCTGCTCAAGTCATGATCTCAGGGTTGTGAGATTGAGCCCCTCATCAGGCTCACACGCTGAGCATGGAGCCTGCTTGATTTTCTCTGTCTCTTCTGCCTCTCCCTGCTGCTCTTGTGCATTCTCTCTTTTTCTTTCTCTCTAAAAAATAATAAAAATAAAATCTTAAAAAAAAAAAAAAAAAAAAAAAGACTGGAGACCCCAGACATGTCTAATTTCTCCATAGGCCTCTGGAAATGTCAGCCAAGGTCCGGGTGCCATTTTTGCGTCAAGTTGTCCCCATCAGTAAGAAGGTAAGGAAGAGGCAGGAAGAAAAGTCTCTCAGGGGAGACTGAACAGTTCTTTTATTCTCTCTTTCTCTCTCCCCAAAGGTAGCCCGGGATCCCCGCTTTGACGATCTGTCAGGAGAATATAATCCTGAGGTGTTTGACAAAACATATGAATTCCTGAATGACATCCGAGCCAAAGAGAAAGAGGTTTGGAACATGAGACTGGCTCCTGGGGATTCTGAGGGGTGGGAAGTTAGGGTACAGGTTAGAGAGGCAGAGGGGAACAGGGCGCATAGTGGTGGGCAGATTTAACTCTCCCTAATTTGCTTTCTCTATTCAAATCCTGGTTCATTAATTTACTACCTGTGTGATTATTGGTAGTTTTCAAATCATGAAGAGAAATATTCATATTTCATAGTGTTATTATGTTAATATATATGAACCTCTTAGAATAATGCTTGGCACAAAATTTCAGTTAACATTTACAGACTGCTAACCATCATATTCATTTTGCAATGTGGAGCTTGTGAAAAAGCAGTTGAAGAAGCACCATTCAGGGCAGGAGCATGAGAAACTGCAGCAGCTGCTTCAGAGAATGGTGAGTGGGTCAGAGTTGCAGGTGGGCAGTGAGAACAGTTCAAGGCAGTCAGGAGGTGGTTCATGGTCCCTCCTACCCACCCATCTCACCCACCTCCTCTTTGCTTCTCAGGAGCAGCAAGAAATGGCACAGCAGGAACGCAGGAGGCAACAGGAGCTGCGCCTGGCCCTGAAGCAGGAGCAGAGGGCTCGGGCCCAGCAGGGCCATCGGCCATACTTCCTGAAGAAATGTGAGTGGGGCACAGCCATCCCAGGCTGGTTACAGGGACAGGCTTGGGTGGCCATAGAAGCAGCATGCTGTGTTGGGGGTCCAGGAGCCTCCCTAAGGGAGGCATGAAGGTAGAAATAGGAAGGAGGAGTTATTTGTGACTCTTCTTACATCCCTAAGTATAGATTATGGACAAGGAGTGTTGCTTTTATCTCTCCCTGCCTCCCCTCCATATGCTGGGCCAGGCACATGGAAGGAGCTCACAGTTGGTGTAATAGAGCAAACAGAGGATGGTAGAAAAAAATCCATGTGGTGCCCTTACCAGTGAATTGCAACCAAGTCACGAATCCTGACATAATGGTACAGACCCGGGGAAAGGGAGAGAAGAATGCCTCCTCCTTTGTTTACCAGCTTTCTTTCTCTTTGTCCTCTAGCTGAGCAGCGGCAATTGGTCCTAGCTGAGAAGTTCAAGGAGCTGAAACGCAGCAAGAGGCTAGAGAGCTTCTTGAGTCGAAAGAGGCGCCGAAATGCAGGCAAGGACCGGAGACATCTCCCTTTGAGCAAAGAGTAATAAAGAACTGTTTTGAGCTCTACCACTGCCCCAGTGAGAAATGGATCTGCAGGGACAGACTTGGGCTTGGCGTCTTCTGGTTCTTTTCCACTCAAGGGTGAGGATCATGGCTGCCCTTGAGCTAGATTAGCTCAAAGATGACTAGAGGGTCTTGGACTACCCCAAGGTTGGACAAGAAGAGCAGCTCAGCTTGTACTCTGGCACACTTCCTCTGCTTGGATCTGGTTCATCGTGGCTTCATGTCCTCCCATCCTTACTTTAAACTAATGATTGTGGTATAGAAATAAAAGGGCCAATGAGTGATCTTCAGGCTGGTGAAAGCCATGAAGTCCGTGGATGGCTCCTAGGGCTGGAGCCAGTTCGTAAACATTCCTGTCACTCTTCTTTTTATTATTATTATTATTATTATTTTTTAAAGATTTTATTTATTTATTCATGAGAGACACAGAGAGAGAGGCAGAGACACAGGCAGAGGGAGAAGCAGGCTCCATGCAGGGAGCCCGATCCCGGGACTCCCGGATCAGGCCTTGGGCTGAAGGCAGGTGCCAAACCACTGAGCCACCCAGGGATCCCTCTTCTTTTTATTATTAACTGTTTTTTTGGTGCGATTGTGGGTGACCTAGAACTACTGTTTCAGCAGGCCACATGGAGGGGCTGGCAACAAATGTAAGGCTCCCACAAAGGAGGATATCAGATCAGAGATCCCTCAAAGAAGACACAGTCATTGAAAGAGTGGACCACTCCCACAGCTCACCTACTTAGCTTTGGTCTGGATACAAGAGGAGGTAGGGGATGAGGACACGAAGTTTCCCCAATAATGTGTTAGCACAGCTGGCCCTTAGCACTGTTTGGGTCTAGAGTTCATACTACCGGTGTAGACTGGAAAATCCTTAAGGTAATAATTCAGTTTGAAGTGGTCTCAGGTTGTTTTTAGGCACTTAGCAGAAGCAAATGTAATCTTCTCTTGAGGTTTGTACTTTAAACCCAAGCTTCAAGGAATTCCTTCAGATAAAATTTGAAGGAATGTGTGCTTTCAGTGAAAATACAAAGTACACAAGGAAAGAAATCACCATGAGTAAGAGTCATTAGGGACACTAGGCAACAGAGTCAGACCAACAAAGACATGTTAGAAATACGAAATACAAAATATAGGGGCTCCTGGATGGCTCAGTAGGTTAAGCATCCGACTCATGATTTTGGCTTGGTTCTGATGATCTCAGGGTCATGGGATTGAGCCCTATGTCCTTGCTCAAGAGGAGTCTGCTGAGATTCTCTCCCTCTGCCCCTCGCTCTCTTTCTCTAAAATAGATAAATAAGTCTTTAAAAAAAACCACAAAACATAAGATATCTTGCTTGTACTTAAAGCGCACGTATGACTAAAGAAAATCTCTAAAAGGACCAAATTGGTCTGATAAAAAATAAAGCTTTTAAAAATGAACGTTGAACTATTTGAAGTTAGAAACTTTATCGTTAAACAACAGATTAGACATACCTAAAAGGAGAATGAAGTGGAAGTACATCTGAAGTTACACAGGCGGAGCACAGGGATACAGAGAAATGGAAACTAAGCGAAAGGTTAAAAAATAGGGAAGATAGATTGAGAAGGTGTGATGCATATAATCAATTCCAAGGGAGAGAATATTTTTTTAAAAGGTTTTATTTAGGGGATCCCTGGGTGGCTCAGCGGTTTCACGCCTGCCTTTGGCCCAGGGCGCGATCCTGGGGTCCCAGGATCGAGGCCCGCGTCAGGCTCCTGTCATGGAGCCTGCTTCTCCCTCTGCCTGTGTCTCTGCCTCTCTCTCTCTCTCTCTATCTCTATGTCTATCATAAATAAATAAATCTTTAAAAAATTTTAAAAAATAAATAAATAAAGGTTTTATTTATTCATGAGAGACACAGAAAGAGAGGCAGAGAGACAGGCAGAGGGAGAAGCAGGCTCCATGCAGGGAGCCCAATGTGGGACTTGACTCGGGACTCCGGGACCACACCCTGAGCCAAAGGCAGACACTCAATCGCCGAGGCACCTAGGTATCCCCAGAAGAGAGAATATTTCAAAGAAGCTGAGAATTTTGTAGAATTGAAATTTATCAATCCTAAGCCTCAGAAAGCCTAATTTTTGTTTGTTTTTTTTTTTTTTTAACATTTTATTTATTTATTTATTAATGAGAGATACAGAGAGAGGCAGAGACACAGGCAGAGGGAGAAGCAGGCTCCATACAGGGAGCCTGACGTGGGACTCGATCCCGGGTCTCCAGGATCACGCTCTGGGCCAAAGGCAGGCGCCAAACCACTGAGCCGCCCAGGCGTCCCAAGCCTAGTTAATTTTAAGCAGGACTGAAAAAAAGAATTGATAGCTGCCTCAGCTGGTAAAGTGTGTGACTCTTGATCTTGGGGTTGTGAGAGTTCAAGCCCCATATTGGGCATAGAGTTTTTTTTTTTTTAATTTTATAAATCGTGAGAAATTATAAAATATGGGAAAGATATCTAAAAAGTAGCTATCAGTGACGCCTGGTGGCTCAGTGGTTGAGCATCTACCTTTGGCTCAGGGTGTGACCCGGGGTCTGGGGATCGAGTCCCACATCAGGCTTCGTGCATGGAGCCCGCTCCCCCCTCTGCCTGTGTCTTTGCCTCTCTCTCTGTGTCTCATGAATAAATAAATAGAATATTTTAAAAAATAATAAAAATAATAAAAATAAAAAGTAGCTATCAGGAAAAGGAAGAGAGAATCAGAAGCTAGGCTAATGCTTGATGCTTCAGAGATGATGGAAAAGATGTTTAAGTGTGAGATGAGCCTAAAATGTTCATCTCCCAGTGATTGTAAGCCAAGGGCTGAAGCTACTAGGATAAGTTGCCTTGCCAGGAGGGATCCAATGCTACAGAGTCTCTTGTCATGTGTCAATCCTACTTTAGAGCCAAAGAACGGAGTCTGGCTGAGAAGAGCAAAAGTATTGAACGCTTGGATTCACAGAAACACTAAGACTTGAGAAAAGCTAAAAAAATAAAATAAAAAAAATAAGGAGTGATGGTTGGCAGACAGGTATGAGCAGTTAAAAGCACCCTAAATCCTACCTTGGAACCAGAGTGTGGTGAAGCTCTTCCTGCTGCCACCAGAGTTACTCCACTTTCTTTCCTGGCCTGCCTAGATTGAGAAATCCCTGGCAGACACATTTGATTAGCTAAGCCTTGGTTATGTTACAAGGGGATTGCTGGGAAAGCCAACTATGTGGTGGGAGATGAGCTCTATGTTCCAAGGTGATTTGTGTGGAGTTTCCAAGCATGAGAAGGGGCTTCAGATGAAGGGGTCAAGATGGGTGTGTCCATCACGAGGCTGTATTGCCGCCCCCACCTCCAGACCTTTTCCCCTTCATCTCAAGGACACACAGGAGACATGGGAAAGCCTTGAGCTACAGCTACGAGTTAGTTGGTCTGTTTTTTGTTTTTTTATTGGTAATATATTGAGATATAATTCCATATTATATGGTTTACCCATTTAAATTGTACAATTCAGTAGTTTTTAGTATATTAAGAGTTGCACAACCAAAATTTTGTAATATTTTTGACACTCCAAAAAGAAATCCCATACCTTCTAGTGGACACTCCCCATTTCTTCCCAGTCTCCCCAGCTCTAGGCAGCCACTACACCACTTTCTAGATTTGCCTATTTTGAGACATTTTATGTAAGTGGAACCAATATGTGATCGTTTGCATACCAGTCATCCAGGTGTCTGGGATATAAGGAACCGAGGCTGTGAGGAGGATCTCTCAAGGGGTATAGGGGCAAACCTCTGTCCAAGTCAGACAGGAAGCATGTACACTGTAGGGATGGCAAGTCCTTAGGGCAGGGGAGGGGCCGCATATCTTCCCTGGTGCTGGTGAGAGGGCAGTCAGGACTGTTCACCTGGATGGCTGGCTTTGGACAAATTAGGCCAGAATCTGGGGGTGGGGTTAGATTGTGTGCTGAGGACAGTGTGTAACACAGGAGCTGGATTGCAGGCAGGAATGTGCAGGGTGTTGGGGCCACCACGGCCAGTATATCCTTCCCATAAGAATTGCAAGAGACTCGTCCATTGCAGATAAGCAGGTAGGCACTCTGTGGGACACTGATGGGCAGGGTGACTGAGCAGGGGTGAATAAGAGGTTAAACCTACAGCTTAGCCCATGCGGGAGCCCAGCAGCAGTGCAGGGGATAGCAGTGGGAGAGTCCCATCCTGTCACCTGCTTGGTATATTCTGATCTGGCTACTACAGCATGAAGTCTCTCTGGGTTTCTGATGGAGGATAGGCTCATAAAGAGCACAAGAACCCTGAAAAAGGCAAAAGGTTCTAGCCCCTGAGAGCTAGCCCAAAAATAAGGGTATGGGGGCACTTGGGTGGCTCAGCAGTTGAGCGTCTGCCTTCGGCTCAGAGTGTGATACTGGGGTCCTGGGATCGAGTTCCACATCGGGCTCCTCACGGGGAGCCTACCTTTCCCTCTGCCTGTGTCACTGCCTCTCTGTCATGAATGGATAAATAAAATCTTTTTTTTTTTTAATTTTATTAAAAAGGCAGAGGTAGGGGGGGCAGGCAGAGAGACACAGGCAGAGGGAGAAGCAGGCTCCACGCTGGGAACCCAACGTGGGACTTGATCCCGGGTCTCCAGAATCACACCCTAGGCCGAAGGCGGCGCTAAACTGCTGGGCCACCAGGGCTGCCCTAAAATCTTAAAGAAAAAAAAATTAAAGAATAAATGCATGGCCTAGGCCAATAAAAGAGCTAGGCTGTGATCTCTGGCACAAAGGTAGAGAGGCACCCAAGTAACTGTAGCAACCCGTGTGCCCTGCGGCCGGGTGCCCCCCTGGCCTGCTCCCAGTTTTCGGCCTCATGGTATAGCATGAACCAACAAGATGGTTTCTGCTTTGAGAATCACCAACAGCCCCATGGGACCACCATACTCAAAGGAAAGCAAGCATGGGCCCTCTGTGACCACCCTGTTTGTCCTCTGTTTTGCTGTCTTGTCCTGGGCATCCTGACTCTCCCAAGCCTTGGCCTTTTCCCCTTACAGATTCTGTTCTAAATCTGTCTTGGGTGGCACCCAGTTCCCCCTGCCTGGCCTCTGTGCCCTCTCTCACCACCTGACTCTTCCTCACTCCTCCCCCACCCCTTTCTTCAGTAGCCTTCTAGTCATCTCTTGGCTGCAAGAACCTTGGGCTCAGGATGCCTGGGTCAGTCCTTCCTGACTCCTCTAATGGCACCTGCCAAGATGCAGAGCTCCACCCTTGGCTCTGGGCCCCCCAGCCCAATCTGCCCTGTCTCGGTGTGGGTGGGGCCACGGGAGATCATCATAGCAGCACAGAGCAGACCCCCCCTAACAGTGGTCCACCCATGTTCCTAGTGGGGGTCTGGCTTTGGTGAGTGCAGCTCTGCATGACCAGGTGAGGAGGCAGCAGGGAGGGGCTCAAGGGAGCTGCAGTTCCTTCTGGGTCTGCTTCTAACCCAGATCCTAAAGCTTCCAGATGAACATGCATTCAGGCTCCAGGGTGCCTGTAGCAGCCACAAGGGTCCTTTATCTTACCTTCACCTCATCAGCCTACCTGGGGAAGATGCCATGCATTACACTCACTGCAGGGACTCGGCATGTTAAATGCTCCCATACCTAGTGCTCATCAGAACCCAGAGTGACTCTAGTCCAATTCCACAAATGAAAACAGTGGAGCCCTGATTAATTAATCTCCCCAAGTTAGAAAGCCATCCAGCGAGTGGCAAGGGGGATTTGGGTCTCCAGCCTGCCAGGTGAAAGCACTTGTGACCACATCCTCTCTGAGAAGGGCTGGAGGTCCATCCCTGTCCACTTAATCCCTCTCCCAAGAGGAGGGTGCTGAGTCACACCTGACTCCCTCCACCATTCCCCCCAGGCTGCCATCTTCACCCTACCTGACTCCTGGCATGGAATGATACAGCCTCAGAGCTGGAGGTCTCCTGTCCCCTTTCAGCCAGGAAAGTCTCTGCTGCCCCTGTCAGATCCGTAGCAGTCACCACACAGGCCATGTAATCAAACTCCTGCATTTTATTTTTGGAGAAAGCCCTGATCCCACTTCCAGGGCTACCGGAAGGTAGAGAAGCTCTGGGTACCTGTGCAGGAGGCATAGGGCACCCCCCGAGAGCGAATCTGCAGGGTGTGGAAGGTGAGGGGTGGGTTGGGGCCTGAGGAACCCGGGTTCAAGGACTCGGTGTGAGGCTCCATCACAGTCATGGGGACTGCATAGGACAGCATCTGGGGCTGGTCATCATGGCGCCTCACTGTGCCCTTGCCCAGGAGGTGCAGGATGCAGGAGAGGACGTCGGTACTGTTGCAGGCAGACCCCCTACCAAGGCTGCTGACCAAACCCCTGGGAGGACATGGGCCCTTCTGCCAAGCATCCAGGACCTAGGAAGGACAGGGAGGAGGGTGTAGCAGGTGGGA